TTCGTTGCAAAGCGAGACCATTTGTTCAATGGGTTTTGCCCCATTTCTACGACCTTTCCTCCCACAGTTGTTAAGTGAATCACTCCCGCTGTTAAGTAAAACCTGGCTTCCCCTTTGATTTTGCTCACCAGAAGGTTGTCAAAGAGAGGGGGCAAGGTAACGGTCATAAGTATGAACAGCTTGCCAGGCCTCTGAATTTCGATCACATGACCGTGGGGTTGCTGCGAAGGTCGTAAGTTTGAAAAACAGTCATAAGTCACATTTTGTACTGATGTTTTATAACTTTGAACGGTCCCTCAATGAACTGTTGTAAGTCGAGGAATACCTGTACTGTAATATATTCTGCGGCACCTACAGGCAATGAAGGCCACTTCCCCAAGTCTGCCACCCGAAACAGTTACAGGCAGTCCTCAACTTATGACCACAATTGGGACTGGAACTTCAGATGCTAAATGATGTGTTCATTAAGTGAGTTGCAGCTGATTTTATGACTTTTTTTTTTTTGCTGTGGTCATTCAGTGAATTCAGCTTCCTTCCATCTTGGAAGCCCCCTGCACAGGTCATAAATGGCAATCACGTGATCCTGGGTGGAAGGAAGGAAGGAAGGAAGGAAGGAAGGAAGGAAAATAGCAATAGCCCTTGGACTTATATCCTGCTTCACAATGCTTCTCCAGCCCTCTCTAAGCGGTTTACGGAGTCAGCCTTTTACTCCCCCAACAATCTGGGTCCTCATTTTACCCACCTTGGAAGGACGGAAGGCTGAGTCAACCTTGAACTGGTTAGAATTGAAGTGCTGGCAGTGGGCAGTGAGTTAGCCTGCAATGCTGCATTCTAACCATTGGGAGGGAGGGAGGGAAATAGCAATAACTCTCAGACTTATATCCCGCTTCACAGTGCTTCTCCAGCTCTCTCTAAGCGGTTTGCGGAGTCAGCCTTTTACTCCCCCAACAATCTGGGTTCAGAAGGACAGAACAGACGGCTGAGTCAACCTTGAGCCAGTGAGAATCGAACTCCTGGCAGTCAGCAGAGCGCCTAAGGCGGGACTAGAACTCCCCGTCTCCTGGGGATTGGCCCAAAGTCACCCAGCTGGCTTTCATTCCTAAGGCGGGACTAGAACTCAGGGTCTCCCGCTTCCTAGGCCAGCACCTTCAACATGGACACCCCTCTCTTTATTTGAGCCCCAAATAGCCATTCCATTAGCAACCCTGAGCGCTCAGACCCTCCCCAAAATCCATCAACCAGTTTCTTCCAGAAAGTGTTTGACTCCCACTGCCATTACTCAGTTAGGCTGTGCCGAATGGGGATGATGGACATTGTGATACACACCTACAGGGCACAAGGCTCGAGAAAATGGCTACAGAAAGCAACAGCTGTGTCCATATCATCTGTCAATTCAGTGGATGGAATTCGATTTGTTTTAACCTTGGATCGGTTGTTTCTTTTGTGATTCAGTGTATTGTGTGAATGGATTTCAAGTCAGTCGGGTCAAGCAAGCTATGCCAATGCAAAAAAAAAATGTTGCTACAAGCCAGTTTTATTCTTTTCTTACATATTAAGGCTTCGCTTTGGGAAATATGAAAGTATTTTTGAACATATACACACAAAGGGAGATTTTCTCCTTGGTGCAATTTTTTTCCTCGCTCCCCAAGTTACCGCCAGCTCCCTAAATAACTGGTTTTAGAAACTGAAAGACATCCAATATTCTCAGCCTCTGAAGAATGGCTAAAGTGTGTGTGTGTGTGTGAGAGAGAGAGAGAGAGAGGGAGAGAGAGAGAGAGAGAGAGAGAGATTGGATTTGCAATTTCAATGTTTTACCCATTTTAGGACTTTGTGTGATGAAGAGTGAAGGACAGGTGAACGCAGCTCTTTGGTGCTGTGTCCGATAGATTGATTGCTTCTGGAATGGTTGTGGTCTCAGTGTGTACGTGTGAGTAAGAGAGAGCGGGAGAACGAGAGCCCCCTTTCAAATTGGGTGCTCCCTTTTGGAAACGGCTGCTAATGCAGCCACCGAAGCTGACACTCTGCTAAATGGGGCCCGAGGGAGTGACACAGGGAATGGCAATGGCGTTGCAAGTTGGGTGCAGCATCCTTTGACTGGGGGTGATGGGGGAGGCGATCGGGGATCCCTACCTCTCTCTTGCAAGCTTGTTCTGCACAGCAGTCCTTGCAGAACGGGCTTTCATGGGAAGCCCCCCCCCAAAAAAAGAAACCCCGAGAAAAGGGGTAGCCATTTTGTGAGTGTGACAGAGTCTGTGCTTGTCTTCCTAAAAAGCCCGCTGCCTTTGGTTGAAGGGGGCTGTCCTTTTGTCGGAGGCAGTATTTCCAGCCTGGGTAGCTTTAAGCGGTATGGACTTCAACTCCCAGAATCCCCCAGCCTTCATGACCTGAGAATTCTGGATCTTGAAGTCCATGAATCTGGACTAGAGTGATCTTCAGAGCTTTACCCTCTTTGATTCCATGTGGGGAATTCTGGGAAGTGAAGTCCGTACTGCTTAAAGCCATCCAGTTTGAGAAGTACAGTCAGTAATCCTCAACTTACGACCACCATTGAGCCCAAATTTATGTTGCTAAGTGAGAAATGTGTTAAGCGAGCTGTGCCCCATTTTACAACTTTTCTCGCCACATTTGTGAAGCAAATCGCTTGAGTCCTTAAATGAGTCAGACCGTTGTTAAGTGGAATCTGGCTTCCCCATTGACTTTATTTGTCAGAAGTTTGCAAAAGGGGATCACGTGACAACCCCCCCCCCCAGGATGCTGCAACCGTCGCAAATACGAGTCAGTTGCTAAGCAGCCAGATTTTGATCATGTAGCAGGTCAAAATAGCAGGTCATAGACCAGGGATGGATGTGGGGATTGACTGATAATTAATCTGGAATAAGTGATGTGGAATCATAAAACTCTGCATTGTATACAAAATAGGCAAACTCAGTCTGGACCCCGGCAGTGTTTCTGGGAGTGCGCCTTCAGCCAGAGAACAGCTTAGCACTCTGGTTTATTTCTTTAGAGAGTTTATTTATTTATTTAGAGAAATTATTTATTTATTTATTTAGAGAGTTTATGTATTTATTTAGAGAGTTTATGTATTTATTTAGAGGATTTATGTATTTATTTAGAAAATATTTATTTAGATAATTTATTTATTTATTTACTTGTTTAGAGAATTTATTTATTTATTTACCCGTTTAAACGATTTATTTATTTATTTATTTATTTATTTATTTATTTAGAGAATTTATGTGGCCGCCCACTCACTTTATGTGACTCTAGGCTAGCTTACAAAAAAACAAAAACCCATTTATTCAAGATCATGAGGACTGGAACCTCATCTTCTCAAAATTGGCTTAGCCACTTGGTGTCGCCTCACAGACCAATGGCATGTAAATTGGACAAATGAATAATACAGGCAGTCCTCGACTTACAACCACAATAGAGCCCCCAATTTTTTGCTGCTACACAAGACTTTTGTTAAGTGAGCTTTGCTCTGTTACGACCTTTCTTGCCACGGTTGTTAAGTAAATCCCTGCAGTTGTTAAGTTAGTCACATGGTTGTTAAATGAATCTGGCTTCCCCATTGACTTTGCTTGTCAGAAGGTCACAACTGGGGATCACATGACCCCAGGACACGGCGACCGTCATAAATATGAATCAGTTGCCAAACATCTTGATTTTGATTGCATGACCATGAGGATGCTGCAAAGGTCATGAGGGTGAAAAACGGTCATAAGTCATATATTTCAGTGCTGTTGTAACTTTGTAACGGTCACTAAATGAACTGTTGTAAGTCGAGGACTACCGGTATTCTACCAGTGAGTTCTAGTATGGAGAGTTTTGTTTGTTTTTCCGCCCCTCTTTCTCTCCAGCTCTTTTTCCTGGAGGACTAAATAGGCAAACTACAGCATTACCTGTAGCAGAAGCCATTAAATGGGGTCTCTTTGGGGTCACATTTAAATCCTTGGAGGTTAATTGACTGGGTCAGCTGATCCTTTTTAATGAGTTCCTGCAACACACATAAATCCTGCTTGATGAGGTCAGTATATTGTGGGAACAGGGTGGCATACAGCACTTAACCAGATGTGGTGAAGCTGTAGCCCCTCCAGGCAACCTACGAATCTTTTAAAGTTTGGGTTAGTTTCTTTCTGGATTAACTTGTGGAAAACCATGCTGTTTGGCTTGTTTCTGGTTTACTATGCTGAGCAAACTGGTCCTGTGTGTTGTCTGAACACAGCTTCTTGAATGTCCCGATGGCTTTGTTCCTGCACCCTTCCACCCAAGGTTACCAGTACTGCTACTGCTTGATGTTGTGTTTATTGCCTTGCCTTCTTTCTACAAAGATGTGGTCTTGTGGTATTCACAGAGAAATCCTCTGAATTGAAAAGGCTTGAAAACATTTCGGTTTGGGGAAAATTATCCTCCTGTTCCTAGGCCCCCATAGGGTGGAGATGCAGGGCTGTCTCCCTCCCCACCAGACTGAGCCCCCCACCCCAAAAGTTTTAACAGGCCAGGGGGCTCCACTAACCATTTTCCTTCCCAGAACCACTCCCGCTGCGTCTTGCCGTCTGCAAACACGACACTGTCCTATTAAGGCTGCTTGGTTTTCTTTTATTTCAAATTTTGTTTATAACCCAGGAAAAAAAAGCATTTTTCTCACCAGGCGATACAGCATCTGCCTTAAATGCTTTTTTTTTTAAAGCATATAACCCCCCCCCCCAAAAAACCAAACTTTTATTTTCCCCCCACCCTGTTCCTTCTTGTTACTGCTTGGTTCTATCTGGCTCTGTCCGGGATTTTAAGTTCTTCCTCCTTTCCTTTCTGTTTGTTTCGGCATCCGGCCCTCAATTCCCTTCCCTTCTCTGTCTGCTGGGGGTCTGGATGCCTGTCACAAGTTAAAAAAATGCTTTTAAATTGTGGCAAAGAGGGGAAGAAAAACCCTCCCTTTTTCCGTGCGTTTTTATGACTCGTCTTTTTTCTTTCTTTCTTTTTTTCTTTCCTTCCCTTTCAAGGTCCAGCTCATCTGACACTAAACAGCCAAGGTATGGTTTTCAGTTTCTTTCCAGCAAATGACTTTTGCTTTTTGTTAATTTTCTCTCTTCACATCTGCTTGAACCATTTCATCACCGCAACCGGGTTCTGACGGTTCCTAGGTTTCGCTCTTCTGCCGCTGCATTCTCTATTTTCTTTCGAAGGGAGACGTGTATGTGTGTTTTATATGTTGGAGGGAAAGAATCGGCATGTTTTTCTGGGTGGGGCAGGTGGGGGCCTTGATACAGCCTTGCAGAATGGGATGAATTGTGGTGGTGCTGGGGTCTGCTGATCGCCTTAGGACGGTATGTCTCAACCCTAGCAACTTTTAAGATGTCTGGACTTCAACTCCCAGAATTCCCCAGCCAGCTAATGTGGACTTCAA